GGTAACGAACCTTTGGGAATCACAATGATCATCTCGGCAGTAATCCTCTCGTGAACGTATCGCCTGGAATGGAAAAGTCGAATTTTCCTCCAGATTTCCTTCTTCAGTTTAGGCTCCGGGACCTCTCCATCGCTTTCCACGAACAGAACCGGGGACGGCCGTCCTGTCCCCGCCACGATACACTCCGATATGAGAGGCCCACACATTGCGCGAGCGTTATCCTCAATCGATTTTGTATCACATCTCAGACTGTTCTCCGTTTTGATCCAATCATCATCCCTTCCAGCAAAGATGTATGTCCCAGGCCCCACCTCGATGAAAAGGTCACCAGTGTGGAACTTGTTGTCGTCTGGATTTCGTAGTGAGATATCAGGGCAATCGCCCGACTCTGGTAGGACAACGAACTCGAGGAGGCGATTGGTAGACTGATGCACACCCGAGTCAACATCAGAGTGAGTTGGACGGAACTCGTATGAGAGACCAGTGAGGGGTCGAAGATGGTGTCGTGTGTTGGGATCTTTGCCTCCAATTGAAATGAGTGTGGATCCTCCGAGCTCAGTACTTCCGAAAATCTCCTTGAGATTGATTCCGCTGCTGTAAGCGTAATCTTGGTCCTCCTGTGAGAGCGCCATACCGCAAGTCGTGACTTCATCGAGACTGGTTAGTATTGCCAGAAACTTTGGGTCTTGTCGAGCGGTTCGGAGATGTGCTGAGAAGAAAGCGGCGAACTGCCAAATTCGGTTAACTTGACAATATCTAACCATGGCAGTCAGCTCTTCCGCAGGGAATGGGAACCGGCTCGGCTGCACGATACAAGTCCCGTATTGCATCAAGGAAAGAAGCAAGCATGTCTGACCAATATGTGCCATACTTCCCATCCAAGTACTAACATCCTGGCGGTCAGGATTGATAGGCACACACAGCTGACTGGCCTTGCGAGCCGCTGCATCGAGCCAACGGTAGTTGCACGGAACAAGTTTTGGGCTGCCAGACGTAGACCCACTCGTGTGGAATATGAATGCGCATTCAGAAGGGTCAATGGACTCTTCGTTGGTGGTAATGTAGGAGTCCTGGACAACCATGCTTAGATTCACCGAAGACAATTCGATGTCGGAAAAGGCGGGTGCTGTAAATAAGTGTACAGGGACGTCATGTGTTCGGTTGGACATGGAAACTAATGTCCCCGAGTCGCATACTAGCGCCTTGGCACCTGCTTTCTGGAGGAGCTCGAAGATAACAGTGGGATTAGGGAGGCGAAGACTGAAAAGTTGAGGCACATAGCCCGCTTTCGAGACACCGTAGATATGGAGAACATCGGAGTAGGTGTATCCTCCAATCCACAGCCCAACTACCGACTTGAGGGGAACATTAGCCTTGATATTGAGCTCATATGCCCAATACCTGGCACACAGTTCGACATCATCATAAAACTGTTTAAACGTGATCGTGTCCCATCGGGGGACTCCGAGCGAAGGACCTTGGGAGGAAGGGACCTTGAATGCCGCAGATTGGGCGAAACGCTCGCTGCTATCTTTGAGGATAGACAAGTGCGTCTTCAAGGGGTTGGTGGAGGGGGTCATACAAGTGGATAAACTGTTTAAGATATGTGACCGAGTAAAGGGCTCCCTTATAAAGATAAAAACCCCGCAGAATAACAAACCTAGGAGCGAATCATCGCGACGAAGCAAGAGTCACAACAGCCAAACTGAGCTGTCGGAAGCGGTACGTACGGCCAGACAGCGCTCACGTCTCTTGAACAGCATTGATATGTGGGTCTTGGTTTGTGATCTCTACATACTCGGGCTGTTAGCGAGTCTTGTCAACAATCTAAACCTGGTCTTGTCAGCATACTTCAGATATGCGTCTCATATAGCTGTGGCTAACCTTGGAGTAGCTGTGTAACTGTACAATATACAGCAGATCGTTCTGCAGCATTAGAACAATCCGTTAAAACGTCCCCTTATTGCTCCGAACCGCCAAGTTGTACAACTTGGTGTTAAAAGTTGAAACCATTTCGACTAGGGCAGAATCGTAAAGTGAGTTGAACGAACACAGTCTGAGTCAGACGTTGATAACTTGTATAGCTTTAGGCGGGAGCGCCGCACCTAGACACCTGTCAGTAAATACACCTCATCATGATGAACGGTTAATAAATGCCATGTACTAGTACTGTTCTGCCAAATCCTTACCCTGGAGGCTATCCACTGAGTTGAGAACAGTTGAGAACTCGGAGCGGACACAGTAACAGCACGATAATGATGTTACGCATTTTCACATGCACCACCTTCATCATGGGCGGCTCGGCGGGTTCGATTCCGAACGGTGAGTATACTAAATATGCCTCCCTGAACACTTGAGTTCTTAAAGCTTGAACAAGCTTGAACCATGTCATATCTGTATCAAACTGAATATATAGTAGTCTAGGCTATGTAGTACGGGGATGCCTAATTAACCAAAATTCAAACTGAAAATTCAAATAATCCAAAGCGAAAATCGTATATATATTTATGTGGTAAAAAGCTACAACTGGAAGCCCTCAAATTCTAACGTATTTGATTAGACTGTATGCTCTCGGGGCTTAGGGATTAATCGATTATGATCTGAGTCCATTATACTAGGGTCCCAGTAAATTTTACCTCAACGTTTTGACTTCACAAGACACTAAACATTATCCGGAGACATGAAAATCAATTACAATGCTATGCCAATTTTGGAAACCTTCGCTCGTATCGCCATAAGTAGTTTCGGTGAGTCCACCTGGCACCAGTACCAACTAAGTAGCTGTGCTTTTCGCGACGACTATAAACGTTTAAACAGTGGATGAATGTATTAGTCCAACCGGAGAAATTGCCACATTGAAGAGACTTGAAACGCGGATTACGTCCATTGAGTGTTAGAATACGGATATTATGAATATATAGGCCCACGTGTAGATGCATGGCACAAGCAAGGATAAGTTCCTTGTCATGACCACGGAACATTGGGGATCGTTTTCACAAATACAATAGTGAAACAGCAGTCTACTAGGGATGGTGTATAACTTAAAGGGGTTGTACTTATAGCCCAGTACGTTCACTCCAAAGGTTTTTAAGCATCACGACTCTCTGAAGGTAAAGACTCAGTTCTCAGCTTTTGCGCTGTCCGAATACCTTCTCCTTGGAATTGAGAATCGAACTTATCGAGAAACTGTGCATGCCTCCAGTAGACTACACAGGTATCGCGGACCGAGACCCCAGGACGGATGTGTATTCCCTGATGTTTAATAAAAGAAACTAAAGTCTATGCCAGCCTGGCATATCGGGACACATTTACCTCTTGGTCAATGGTCCTCCATCTTTGGTGTACCAGCGGGTGTACCAGTGCACATTTCAAAAGGTGTATCAAAGAGAAGAAATGGCCGCAGATAACAGCCAGATTATGACCCTAACAGCTCCAGCTTTTCACGGGCTAGTCGACCAGAATGAAGATCCTGGAGAGCCACCCATATCTTATGGCTAACGTACAGACAAGCTCACGAGTAAGCTTAAAAGATTCAACAGGTTTCCAACGCCTTCCTTGAATATCTAGTTTGGACGATATCGGTTCTCTTTTTCCTTCATGTTTCGAACATTTTGTTCTAGGTAAACATGCTTCCAACGGATCCACAGAATACCACGTATCTGGAGTCCAGTTAATGTAAACTCTCCGATACAAAGCTTTCTGAGAGAGAACATCGAGTCCAGGAGAAATATGATCAGTACAACTATTCTGGATACTCAGACGATACGCAGATCGTGGGCAAGTGGTGAATTTTTCTTGGCAGTGGGCCCTTTCGAATCTCCTCTAGATGAACAACGGGTGGTGTGCACTGTGGGTGGCCTCGATGTTACAGTTCATCGTTTGGGCATCTGTTCGACAAGAATGGCTCTTCTGATGCTATTTTGGAGATGTCACGCGTACGGGAAGATGTAACACTCGATAACACATAGCTGGTGTGTCTTTCTAGGTGCTTTTTTTTGACAAGGCAAGCGGCGGGGACGGTACAGTCGACCTTCGGGAGTAAAGGGAACCACAACGACGTGGTACGAAAAAACCGATTGGACTACCTAATGTACGTACAGAGTAAGTATATAAGTAGCTACTGTGCGTAAGTGGCGGAACGACCGAGCACAAGAACATATGCTCTAAAACTTTTTTTTGTCAGTCTTATACTCAATCGAGGTCCCTACTGCGTCAGGATACCCGCTCTATACATAGGCTCGGAGTAATAGACAATACATTAGCGGAGAACAACAAGCTGGAGCCCTAATCGGGGCGGTAGTCAATGGTATCATGTGCAAAGAAGTACCCCGTAGATATATCTAGGCTGACAGACAGTCCGATGGCCGGGCCCCTCTCAGTCCCCCTTAAATGTTGTGGGTGCAGGGATGGTGTAGCCTTTGAATTGCGAAAGTTTCCTAATTTGGTCGGCCAAAGCGTTGTATATCAGGGGTGTTTCACTTTGAAGCATGAGGAATTAGCCATGTCCAGCGCTTGGAGAGCTTGATTAGGCTCGTTAAAACTAAAATACTATAGTAGTAGTGAGATATATCTGAACTTATCACTGTAAGATGTCTGAAGAGTAAGTCGTCTCATGATGGAGCTTTTTCAGATACATTTATTTCCACTTGTTTACAGTGCTCCTAACCTGTGACAGTCAGGTAGTAGTTATTGTGCCTTGTTGAGTGAGACCCACCCCCACCGGCACAGGTGTTGACTACATATTCTAGACCCTGAATAATTGATTGAAGAAAGTAGACATACTTGTCTGTCTTGACCATGCCTTGCAAATGCTAACGGCTTGTCATGGGGGTGGGGGGGGGGTAGGACGACTTGGTTGTTTGCCCGAAGGTGGTCCGATGCTATAGCGACGCCGGGAGTCGCTAACACGAGCAACGTTACAAAAAAAGAACAGTACATACTACTACCATATAATTTAATATCATAATATCTACAAGCAAAATCGACTCAAAACCGCATATAGCCCACCGCGAGGGTCGAACTCGCAGCCTTCAGATTTCAATGTTAACAGTTGATATAAAAGTCTGACGCTCTATTGAGCTAGGCGGGCAATAAATACATGAAAAATGGGAACATGATCTTCGCAGATCCTTTGTCAGCTCATACATTTAAAAAAGGAACGACAGCATCGCCGAAGTTGGTTTGACTCAAAGTACATCCATATCCCCTGTTTGATTATTAATATAATCGAGCTAGCATGTATCCGACGAGTGACCCCTTCATGGGAAAATTATAAAAACGGTGTGAAGGGCCTCAATCATCCAAGCGGGGTAAAGACCCAAGGCATTAATATCGGAGGTTGAAATATCCCTTGATCAAGTACAAGATGAATTACAACTTTTACGATTGCAGGTACTTACAGTATGTCATCCAACAAAATATCATCTCTGAAGCTGCTCTTCCAGGAAAACCACAAATCTCTGACCTACACCTTCCTCACTCCAGTCCACGCTTCCGCGCTCGATAGTGCCCAACGTTATCGCTTTCTTTTGGCGGTGACAAATTGCCGTTTTAGTCGGGAGAGTTCTGGCAGTGTGAGATTTCGTGAAGGTAACGTCAACTTTAAAGTGGAAGATGAAGATAATGATATGGTAACAACGCCCCCGAAACCATCCTGTGCCGACATTACTTGCTGCATTACCGTGAGCGTTGTTTTTTCGAGTGTTGACAGTGCATCTGTCGGAGCTTTCGCTGTCTGTTTCGGAATGGCATTAGGATTCAAAGCAGAAATGAGGCTAAATTGATGACTGACCGCGACTGTACCTGAATTGGGATTGGTTAATTTACCCTTGTCTAGTGCATCCCATAGACCATCTAGAGTAGATTGTGGAATCGGATTGTCTGACCAGAGGAGAGTGAAAAGAGGCGAGTCCCATCGGACCATGGATGAAGGTTCTTCGTATCGGAGAAATAAGTTTTCCAGAGTCTCTTGTGAATATTTATCATCGCCTTCTCTGAGGTTATTCCACTCTCGACATTTTTCTTGGGGCGTCAGTACGTATACCTGAAGAGTAGAAAGGGTCGCAATTCGAGCGAGGGGAAGGAGAGTAGATACGCACAGTAGCGACTCGGACCTTTACTTCTCTTGCGGCGCAGTATATTTGGTATCGAAAGCCTTTGATATAGTTGGGAGCATCGACGATAAGAATAGTATTGGGGGAGAGAAGACGGATTATCGCAGTGAGAAGAGCACCACGAGCCGGTTTTTCAGTGGCTGAGCTATCGTAAGCTGATCGCTTGATATCTAGATAATGCGAGGTTTCGGAGAGCAGAACTACATCTTTTGAGCCTGCAGATTTTGCTTGAAGAAACTCTTTGAGCTGGCTAGCTCTAAAGCTTTTCCCAGAAGCTGGATATCCGGAGATAGTAACGAGTGACATTTGGCGTTGCTACTTTGATTTGTAAGCCAACCCATCGTTTACTGTTGATCTCATCCAAACACTCCTTTAAATAATTTCTTCATTTCTTGTTCCTTCATCATTCTCCTTTGGGCTGAGCCAAATTTGTGTATTATCCGCTGTTCGCGGTGATATCTGGCATAGAACGCCATGATCGCTGCTATGTCTCCCCAGCAACAGCAGTATTCCATGCCTGATGATTTGGAGGAAAGGCTCTGTCCTGGTTGCAAACTTTCTGTTGTATCAGAGGAAGGCGGGCTGGTTGTTGCTTTTGGGTGCGAAATTTTCTGCTTCTCGATTCTCGCTTTTGACATTATTATAACAGCCAATGCTTCTTCCATGTAAACTGCTTTAAATGCGCCAAATGCAGCGACAAGGTTACTGCCGACACCAATCTCCTGCTCTTATCCGATGGCTCTCCCATTTGCGCCAACTGCTCGTATGCCTGCAATGTGTGTAAAAAGCCGATTCTCGACGAAGCTATCATGACTGGTGACGACGCATACCATGCGCATTGTTTCAAATGCAAAGTGTGCAAAAACAGGATTGATGAACTGGTCTTTGCGAAAACCAGTCAGGGCATATACTGCATGGATTGTCATAATGAGCGGATGATCAAGATTAGGAAACATACGCAGAAGAAGGCTGAGCGCGAAAGAGAGAGACAGGCTGCACAGGCTGCTGCATTCAGCGAGCTCGGTATCGGCGGGGGCGGAAGTCTATCCACCAGTGCCAGAGATAGAGATAAGCGGGCAAGGGAAAGGGAAAAGGACAGAGAGTTGCAGACTACACGTAGCACAGAATTCAACTCGGTATTCCATCCGCCACCTCGTACTTCTTCTGTCGACAGCTCGTCTCAACGCCCCTTTCCGCTCAAGAATAACTCTCTTCCAGTCGCGCTGGACGAGCGTTCTGTAATTCCTTCCCTTTCTGTACCTTCTAATGGTAGTCTTACAGTCACCTCTGTCCGAGACAAAAGGCGTTCTATTAATCCGGGATTGGTTATCAAGCCACCAATAACTACTTCTAGGGCATCTTCCCCCACTCAATCGCCAGTTCGGCGCTCACCCACTCCACCTGTAAACGCTCCTTCTCCTTCTCCAGCCAGAGACAGTTTCTCTTCTCGTCCTACTTCCTCCACGTCCAATGCTTATCCTCAGCGGACACGTACTTCTTCTGCAGTATCCTCATCTTCTACCGCAGGACTGAATGGCGATGATACAACGGTTACCATGCGCCCGTCTCCATCACCACGCCGACCCACCGCGTCTTCTTCACCACACCCTAATTCTCCCACACCCAAGCCGGAAAGATTTTCCGGCTCAAGTCTTAGTCCACGTCCGCACTCAACAGCCAGTAGATCGCCTTCCCGCGCCGATTTACCGAGAAGCGTAGAAAGTGCTACCGACGACGACGACGACGACGAGGATCTTTATCGGACTACCCCTCGACGGTCTATGACCAACAGTTCTCTCATTGACGCATACAGAGGAGCAGACATCGAAGACACTCATCAGAGAAACTTTAGTGTAGAAAGCGTCCCTCCTCCCATGCCACCTCCTAAAGACTCAAGACCAAAGCCTCCGGCGCCTTTATCAAGTCTCACAAGGCGCATTTCTTCATCGGGTCCCGGTCCAGTAACTGCAATGTCAGACCCTCCTTCATTGACCCCAGATTCCCGCCCTCCATTTAGCCTACCCAGTCCGAAATCGCATGCCTCTGAGGTATCGCCCGTTCATTCTCCAGGTCCTTCGCCTATGTCCCGTAACATGAGCACTGACCAAGGTGACATTTCCGACAGCGAAACAACTGAAAACTCGGCTGAAGACAAAGAGCTGTTGGATGCAGAACAGCATGCAGAAGAAAATGGCGAGCAAACCGCTAATCGTGCAACTGCTACTTATATAGCACCTGCCCTCCCGCCAATTCGTTTCTCTCTTAACACCCAAGATTTTTCAGACATGTTCAGTTCGGTGGGTGGAAACATCAACGCTTTCAAAAACTTGGATAGCGTAGCGGAGGGCCAGGAGAAAAAGCTACCTGACCTCGAGTCCGTACCCACGACTCCCCCACCAAGTGCCGCCTCGAACCAGCCAAACACAATGTCATACAATCAAAACGGGTTACAATCAATGCGAGGGCCAGATTCACCTCGCCCTCTACCTGTACCTTCGTTGCCTTCCATACATTCCATACCTTCCCATAATGATTCCTCCACCAGCGTGTATACCTCCGCTAACGAGTCGGTTACCGTCACGGGGAGCGCAGAGGGAAGTGCACCCACTTCAGAAGATGGGCACTCCTCCAACTCGGACCATCATAAAAAGGATAAGGGCGGTAGTAGTTTGCTCAGAAAAGTGTCTTTTGGAAAGAGGAACAAGTTGGATCGTAGTGCGTCTTCTTCAAAGGCCCTAAAGGACAAAGAGAAGAGGGCTGCCGCAGAAGCGATGCCAGGTACTCTTAAAGTTGGTCTAGCAGCTCCGATGGCGAGGGAGCGCGCGCACTCAGATCCAGAGGTAAATGGCCATTCGGAGGATATGCCTAGTTTTACGACAACGATCACAATTTCGCCGCCGTCGGATGGGAACATAGAAGATAAAGAGTCTGCGTCCAGTGCGGATCTTGTTCTACAGAGGCTTCAAGAAGTACTTACAGATGCTACTGATCGAGGAGCACAGCAACTCAAATTGGATAGAGGCTTCGTCGAGGCTATTGTGAGCGCTATGGCCACCAGAAAGACAGAGTATGCAGAGGCCCGGAAACAGATCGACACTATGAAGGTGTGTGTACCGTACTTCGCCCTTTGTTGTCTTTGCTAACTCTTCCGGTGCTAGCGCGCCAGCCAGATTGACGGCCTCAGCGTGGCGCTAACAGAGTATGACCGCGAATTAAAAGCTCGTCGAGATGCCGAAGCAGAGGTCACTAGACTTCGAGTCTTACTTTCTGGACAAGCGGTGCGCCTGACGGCCTTGACCGGTGACTCGAAACGACAGGAGTTGCGGCAGAAAATGTCAAAAAGAACTTCATGAAAACTTGAGCGGACTAGAGCGTGATCTGAGTAAACTCAAAGTTGAACGTGATGTTACTCTAGCTGAGGTGGAAGAGCTGAACGCTGCCAGGTACGTCTCTATTACATCGACAAGTGGTTCGTTACTGAAAATGTTGCTAACGCTATGACAGTTCAAGTGGCGCTACTTCGGAGCCTCCTGCCAATCTTGGCCGCACACTAACCAAACGACTTGATAACCTCAAAAGTCAGTATCAGCGAGAGCTCCTTCCTCTGACTCAACAACGCGAGGCGCTCACCCGGGAGGTCATGGAACTCAGGGCTGCTAGGGATACAATTCTGGAGGAAACCACTGTGCTGAATGCACGCAATGAGGACCTGGCTCAGCTCAATGCGCAATATTCACGCAGGGTGGCCCTGGCCCCATCGAATTCCTATGGCCAGGAAACACCTTCCAAGAACCATAGTACGACGATCATGGAGACTCCTGTACGGGTCGAATCTCGGAATGTCCAGCTGCAGCAACAGCTCACTCCCCAGCAACTGCATCAAGCGCTAGTTGCGTCGTTCCCCGCCGCAGAGGACCCCGAGTCTCGCAAGATACCCAGAATAGAGGATACTTCCACACCTACGAAAGGTGCTGCG